GAGTGGCAAGAAACAATCCAGGCACAAAAACCACCACATTATGTTGTAGTGGTTATGGCGCCAGTAGTGCCGTAGTGCCCTCCCAGGGTAAGTAGTCAAACTGTTTAAGTGTGAGTGGTGGAGTGTGTGTGTGAGAATTTCAGTGTGTGTGAGGGGTGCATGTTTATGTGTGCAGTGTGCGTGTGTGTGTGAGGGGTGCAGTGTGTGTGTATGTGGGGCAGTTTGTGTGTGGGGAGGTGCAGTGTGGGGGGGCAGTGTGTGTGAGGGGTACAGTGTGTGTGTGTATGGTGGGCAGTGTGTATGGGGCAATGTGTATGTATAGGGGTAGTGTATGTGTATGGGGGGTTATGTGTATGGGGGGCTGTGTGTGTAGGGGGTAGTGTGTGTATGTGGGGTAGTGTGTGTGTATGGAGGATAGTGTGTGTATGGGGGCAGTGTGTGTGTATGGGGGAGCTATTGTGTGGTGTGGGGGTAGGAGGGCAAATTAATAAACATGCCTAAATATAGATAAAAGTTCACGTAACGAATGTGACAAAAAAACATCTTGATAAATTAAAAAATAAGGGATAATATTTAAAAAATGTTATCCCTTCAATGATTATGACAAGGATGGAAAAGTTTAAATTTATAAGGCACACTATTCGCACCAGGAGTCACATGGGAGTCACAGAGGGACCTCGGTAAATGACAAACCAAATAAACTGACCCCTAACTCCTGGTACCATAACCACTACAGTGGGACTGCTATGACATGGCAAGTTTTTCTGCAATATATTCATCCAATATCTGTAAATATTACACGTTTATTTTAAACAAAAAGAAACTGACAGTGAAGGGTTAAACAAGATGTAACTAACTGGTTACAAGGTTATAATTAAACATACAATGGATATCCTTATTTTTAGGTAAATCTCAATGTAGGTGCGCGAAATAAACGTAATTTCTAATCATGCCGCATCCTTGAAATTATAAAAGAACTCAGAATGCAACAGAAAGTTTTCTTTCATTTCAATGAATGCAGGAGTTTAGTTTATATTCTCTCAATGCCTCCTGTTTATAAATCTTGGATATGTTCCAGTATTATCTGAGTATAAATAAGGACATTTGCTTTTCTGTTCTGATTCTAGAATTCATTTGTATTCCGTATATCTCTGTACAGAAACAAAACTATGGCACAAACATAAAATGTTTTACAATAGCCCACTTCATGACTTATAAACACACTGTGCTTCTAGGGAGACCCTACGGATTGCTTCCGACATGGCATTATAGCTAATGCATACCAATTTCTCATTCTGCTGTGGTCTGAATACCTAATCGAGCTCTGCTGAAAGAAATGTAACTTTCATTTATTTCAGAAAGTTGGACTGTCGAGGCTGTGTAGATGATGCCGTCCACAAGGAATACAATTCAACAACAGATATTAAAGTTTATTATAAGAAGAATTGTTTGGGGCAATGTAATGAGGTGGTAACACAAAAAAGATATGAAAAATACATGGATAAGACAAGAAACCTAGATAAACCCACTGTAGCATTGGCAATATATAGGTGTGATGGGGTGTGTAATTGTGAGGCAGTACATTTAATAGTTTTATATTTACAAAGTAGTAGATATTGTATGTTCTCTTTAGTAATTGATGTCTCTTTCTTTTCTCCCTTCCTTCATCAAGTTGAGTTACTATCAGGTGGGACTTTAGAAATAAACAAGTACTTGATGCTAATTTCCAAGTGTCTAAAGTTTCCTACACCATCTTTTTGTACTTTCTGAATCACCAAGGAGAGCCAAGCATTTCAAATGGCTCTAAGTCTCAAGTGACACACAACTGGCTTGCGGACACCGAAAAAGATTATTAAGGTACTAAGTATACTTTTACTAATATATATCCACCCTAAACCACCCTAAGTCGTAGATGTTGAGAACTATTTTTTTGTAGGATGCATTTAAAACACATTTGATTCTCCAGGTTAATCTCCATGGCTTCACCATCTCTGGTTTTGAAGTTAAAAGGAAAAACCTTTAAAGTTAAAGAATATGCTGATGATTTGTCATTATCACCCACCCTACCACATCAATCTGCCATTGTCAGGTACAAGCTTAATTTAGACAAATCTGAAATACTATCACTAGATTTGCCCTCACATTTCTGATACTTTTACAATCCTCCTTCACATTTAAAACAGGCTTAACTCACTTCATATATCTTTGAATGAAGGTCCTCTACAGTCCTTTACAGCTTTAAGACTTGAATTATACTCCCCTATTGGAGAGGGTTAAACAAGACACAAGCCTTTGGCAATCCCGAATGTCTTGTGGCTGGGATAGTTCACATCTGTGAAAATGAACCTCCTTCAACCTTTTATTTATCTTTTCTAAACTCTTCCCCTACTCATTAGAGTGGGGGGAGGATATACCTCAATACTTAAAGCATATATTTAGATTGTTATTACATTTAGATTACATTATAATTTGATATTTATTTCAGTAATTATTTTATGAATTATTATCTTAACCATTTGCCTGCTGGCTGCTTCCACTGCCAGTGGTCAAATATTGCAGATTTCTTAAGGTTCACCTGCCAAGAACAGGCTAACTTATTTTACAAATTTGCCTTCTACCAGATTTGTTTAGAGTGAATCTGGTTGAAATTCAGTATTTGATAAATATAGGATTCCTATATTTTTATATGATTCCCATATAAGAATTAGTTATTTAAAAAATGGACAACATATAGTACAGAATGAGATGTGGTCATCTGGTTAAAATAACAGAGTTTCAACTGCAATTGTCTTAAAGGAACACTCCACTCCCAAAATAAAATTAAAAAGCAATGTTTATAAGATATACCCCAAATGAAAACATGCATGCATTTAATTATGCATTGTTTATCTAAAATCAACTTTCAAAAGTTGCAGTTCTCTTCTCTGCTGACTTTGCAAGCCCTCCCCTTCTAACCCCACCCAGACATTCTGTGTCTGTCCAATCACAGACTTTCCAATACATCTCAGCGAGAAGTGTTTGCAAGACAGGTGCTCTGGGCAATTGAGCTAAATAAAAACTGACATCTTCATTAGGAAAATTCAGACAGGTTGTCTGATTGAATTTTTGGTAAATTAAAAAAAAGAGGACAAGCAAGTTAAAGTGCTTTAGGAATCTGAAGTGTTCCTTAAAGTACAAAACATAATTGCAAATTCAGTTCCGATGCAAAGAGATTACCCATATTTTGCCAATACGAGCTGCATTCAGGCTTTAGTAAATAATGCTGACGGTTTAATTGAGCAGTTGTAAATGTTACTTTTTAACTTTGCTGAAACTTTTTCACATGCTTGCGAAATACTGGGGAGAAAAATCAATTGACTTTATAGTTAAATAATAGATCACAGCATAAAGTTACAATTTATACAGCTATATAAAAGAAGGTTTGTAAAGCACGTAAACTATCGTATGATCTGACCTTTACCTCTGCAAAAAGCATGAAACAAAACCTAGGCATTATTTTGTTATATCAAATATCCTGTGAAAGGATGAAAGCAGCCTAGCCATTTCAAACCTCATGCCTCACTGAGTTACCGTACTAACAGAAGCTTCATTATCCAGGATGTACATCAGGTTCAGAACTTTTACTCTCCATTCAGTCCGCACCAGGCTCTAGGAGATGTATTTCATGGTGGGAAGTCCCATACACAGATGGTAAAACTGGGCCTCCCTTTGTATTTCTCAAAGGTTACTTGATGTCCCTGGACAGAAATGTTGTTTAATACTTCACATGCTTGATGAATCTTGTGTTAAAATCTATTTTGTACAATTCTTAATTTATCTTTAAATAGTAGTGCAATTTGGAGAAAGATTTAACTTTGTATTATGTCGTGGTTATAAAAACTGTCAACTTTACTTCATTCTGGCTTTAACTGTTTTGTTTTTCTTCTATACCATAGGCACCAAAGGAACAACGGCAAATTGGAGAGGAAGCTTGGAAAACTAATACAAGTATTTGAAACCTGTACTCAAATTGCCATGAGAGGTGGTTTTTTTGTTTTTGGTTTTTTTATCCCTTGCCTTATGTGCAAGTATTTAACTCCTTTTATTCACTTTTTACCCCCTGCTATAGCTTGTAGTAATGCTTTCATCCATATTAAATGAATATATAAAACAAACGAAAAGTGGACTTTTGCAGTTGAAAACTTTATGGAAAAGGAATAGACATGAGTTTGTATAAATTGAACTTTTTGGGTTAATTATAATCCAAGTCAATAATTGGTTAATTACATTTTCTGACTTTCGTATGGAATTATGCAAAAGTTTTAAAAGGAACCCTAATCCAAAAAATTGTGGACCATCAAAAAAGGTTATCAAGCTGAAATACAGCAGAACTTCTGATTTATTCATTAAAGTACCACTATAGTGCCAGGAAAACATACTCGTTTTCCTGGCACTATAGTGCCCTGAGGGTGCCCCCACCCTCAGGGACCCCCTCTCTGGAGAGAGGAAAGGGGTTAACCTTACCTTTTTTCCAGCGCTGGGCGTGGAGCTCTCCTCCTCCTCTTCGGCTGAATGCGCATGCGCGGCAGGAGCTGCGCGTGCATTCAGCCAGTCTCATAGGAAAGCATTCATAATGCTTTCCTATGGACGCTGGCGTCTTCTCACTGTGATTTTCACAGTGAGAAGCATGCAAACGCCTCTAGTGGCTGTCAATGAGACAGCCACTATAGGCTTTGGAGGCTGGATTAACCCATTTATAAACATAGCAGTTTCAGAGAAACTGCTATGTTTATAAAAAAAAGGGTTAATCCTAGAGGGACCTGGCACCCAGACCACTTCATTAATCTGAAGTGGTCTGGGTGCCTAGAGTGGTCCTTTAATCTTACAATGACGTACTCAATAAGCCAATTTTGCAAGGTTAATGATAAAAACACTGACGTCTTCATTAGTTTTTCTATTACATTACTGACCTTGTATCTATTTGTATTTGAAAATGTTTTATTTTATTGTCGACTGATTACCTTGGAACTCTTTAATTATCTATTACTTTTAGTTTATTGGAAGGAATGGAAGTATACATATGAAAGATGCTAATTTCTTCCAAACCTGACCAATGTATGTTAAATTCAAATAATGTGTCCCACTGACTAGAGAGCAATTCAGAATAGCTGCTTGAAATATGAATACAAATGTAATATTAAATCAGAATTCCCTGTGTCGGCATGAAAAATATTTTCCGGTACTGTCTATTATTTTCTTAATGTGTATTGTGTCCTTTAAATTTAAATCCAATGAAGTGCACCCAAACAAAACATCACCAATTACAGTAGAGTTAATCTGAGAGCAGGATTAACCACGAGGCAACCTTATGTAAAGAATGAAGGTGGGCCCCACAAAAGGAACATGGCACATTACGATCTTCATCTTTCAGTGGCTGCAGGTGTTCTCATGGCATTGACATATATTAGGTGCGATGTGAAGTTAGGTTATGTTGACTGAGTTTGTTGTATTAACCTTTTTTTTACTTAGTTACTTGATGGTTGTTGTTTTTTTTTTATTTGTTTTGCTCCAAAAGCCCTACATTTCTGCCACTTCCTTGTTATCAGTGGAAGCTGGCCCATAGGGTCAAGTGGGGCAGTGCCCCTTCTACCCTAGTTTTTGTTGCAAAATAAATATAGTTTATTAGTATCGTAAGAACTACTAATAAGTGTACATTTTGATTATATGTACTGTTTCCATTCTCCTCTTTATTGACGACTGGAGATGCTGCTGGTTTTGAATTGCGCATGGCATCTTATCGGGTTAATTGTATAGAGCCAAACAAGTCTTGGGCCATACCATCTTTAAACTTCACCAGGTGCCAATGCTTCTTACCTGCATGATTTAGCCGTTTAAAAATACCATTTTAAATGATGATATGACCAACATTTATGGGAGATGTTGTTGTATGTTAGTAGTTTACAGAAGATAACTGACGAACTACTACAACCCCATAAAGTCCTGCTTAACAGTGCTACAGAAAGCTATGTGAACCTCCTGAATGGCTGAGTTCTTTTCTGGTTTGGTAAGAGCTCATTGCAAGACAGACAAAGCTTGGGATTGGTAATAAACACAAAAACTTCAAATATGAGTACATTTTAATATGTTTTAAATCTATTGTTCTCGAATATAATTTTTAAATGTATTATCTATATAATATTTAAAAAACAATGTCCCATTAATACTTCAATCTCATTGGAAGAAAGGTGATATTGATTGATATGTGATATAGAATTTATCTCACACTCCCATTTACAATAAACGGAAAACGGAAATGTATTGCGTTAATTGATTTAATTATTAATGCATTTATCCAACATTTTTACTCATCAAATAAATGTAATATCTCCCTAATGCCCATTAAGCTGATCATATTTGCATTGATTTATATGTATTCTCTCGAGAGTTGTCCACTTTATTAGTGAAAAGCGATGCTCTCTGTTCAAACAGTATGTGTTTTTTTTTGTTGTTTTTTTTATTACTTATGTATTCACAGCAAGAAATCACTTACTCACAACGATGGGTATTTATGTTCTTGCAAAAACCTTTATCAAATAAACCACCAAACTTTTTCTCTATACTACCGATATTCAAAATGCACACCACCAGCGGATATAAGCAAACATAAAAGGGTAAAAATTACCCTTTTTAGTATACTGCAGAAAGTAAGAAGACTCCTCCAAATCTCCGAATAAAATATATATAAAAATACAATCTACAATAAAATACAGAGAAAACCACATATAGTGTAATATTGTTAGACATCATGAATTGTGTATACGGTGGTGTCTGTGTTGCTGAATGTTGTGTCTGTGGTGTCTGAATGCAGAGGCGGCTCTCTAATTAGGTGGTTTAGGCTGCCGCCTTAGGCCTCGCGCGGGCTGGGGCCTCACGGCCGCCTAAACCGCCTGTGGGCAGACTGTGTCAGGTCCTCGGTCACTGACCGAGGACCTGACACCAGGAGGGGACCCGGCGGCTTGCCCGGTATGCCGCAGGGTGCGAGGCCCCTCCTGGCTGCCTGGCAGTGAGCAGAGCTGCAGACCATGTGTCTCGCAAAAAACAGCCAATCAGAGCGTTACCGCGGGTTACCATGGCAACGCTCTGATGTTCTCGCGAGATTACATGGTTTGCAGCTCTGCGGAGCTGCAGACCAGAAGCAATACCACCGGACCACCAGGGAGCCCACAGGGAAGAAAAGGTAGGTTCTCACCCCTCTTACCATCACCCCCCCATACACACAACACACTTCAAGCATCTACCCCATACACATACGGTCTCAGACAAAAATGCAAACATGCTCACAGAGACATACATTCACACACACAAGGATACTCTCTGTCAGACACACTCTCAGGCACATACACAGGTAGACATATGTGTATATGTGACACTTTTTTGTTAGTGGGGCCTCATGTTTGAGTTTCGCCTAAGGCCTCATAAAGTCTAGAGCCGCCTCTGTCTGAATGTGTTGTGGAAGTAGGTTGACTGTGTGAGGGTAAGTTTTAAATTTCACCCCCTAATGAAAAACTGACTGGAGAGGTCCAGTGTAATGGGTTTGGGACATGTTCCCTGGTGGTCCAGTGGGAGAGTGATGTGGTCTGAACATCTATCCTGTGCAGATCACAGTCCTGGCCCTTAGAGCACTGGCTGTAACATTCTGAGTCAATATAAAAAGCACCAGGAAGAGTGAGGGAACTCTTCAAGTGATCTGCACCCAATAGAGGTGCGTGTGAGTGTATCACAGACCTTGATAGCAATAAAACTCATGATATTGTACAGTGTGTATGAGTGTACCACAGAGCTCCACAGCAATAAAACTCACAGTGATGTACACTATGTATGAGTGTATCACAGAACCTCACAGCAATAAAACCCAGTCATGTGAAGAGTACATAAATACATTGCAGAGCTCCCATGAGCAAATGAAGCTGAGTGTGATATTTGTAGGATGTGTGTATTGTGTGTCCCGATAGCTCAGTAGTTGGGGTGTTGTAATTGGCTGAATGTGATGTGTGGGGGGTCAATTGACTTTGATTGTGTTTGATGGCTGAGTATGATTGTGCATGTGGGTTGGCTACATGGGATTGTGTGGTGGTTGACAGAGTGTGATAAGTGTGGGGTTTGCTGAGTGTGGTTGTGTTTGAGGTTAACTGAGTGTGATTGCATGAGATGGTTGGGTATTAATTACATGAGGATAGGAAAGCATGGTGGGAGTGAGGGGAAAAAGGATTGGGTGGGTATCACAGAAAGATAGAGAGGGAGGGTAGGAGCATAAGGATAGATTGGAGCGATAGAGGAAAGAGAGAGAAATGGAAATATAGAGAAGGGTTGTAGTGGTGAAACACCTCGGGTGTTGTAGTGGTGAAAAACTTTTCAAATACATTTTTCTATAAAAATTCCCTTATCCTTCAGTGGTGACTTCTATAGATAAATTATTTGTGGAAAAAATTCTAACAGATTGGAATTATTTCTGATGTTGAATTAAAGAAATTAAATTGAAGTCTTTATTGGAATATTTAAATTATTGTGCTACAAACTCATCACGTTTTTGCTCGTTTTTTAATTTCATTATTTTGTTGTGCTTGTTTTCTGAATCAGATTCTAGTAGTATACAGTATACATTTCCAAAGTCAGAATATCGCTTTCTTGTGTTAACATAAACCCATTCTTTGTCCATCTCATGTTGTGAACACTAACAAGCTTTGTAAAGCCTGAACATATTGTTCAAGATACTGTTTTCATTTCACTTAAGCCAATGTAAAATGATATCACAAATGACTTTAAATGAGATTTTTTTTTTTTCATTATCTCATTAACCTAACGCCACATATTTCTATGCAATGTTACAAGCTCAAATAATTTAATCCTGAACTTTTAATTAAATGGGGCTTAAAAGATTTTAAAACCAGTGTTTCAGTCTTTATTCTTGGTTAGAAAACATTTAAAATGCTAGTGAAGTGAAAAATGAAATAGTTTACACCACATTATGACTCAGCTAGATAGAAATAGAAATATCTAGATAGGAAATGCTTCTATGTTTTATATTGGTAAATTTACTTTCACTATTTACTGTGAGAACTGTATAAACAACGCAATTAGTAAGTTTGTTAATATTTATTCATTTTATCTAAGTCAAGAATCAGGGGCAAATACCTAAGGGATGCTCTTATTCTTGAATGTGATCCATAGCCCAAAAGTTATATAACAAAGGAGAAATGGAATATAAAGCTACAGATCATCAGTTATATTAATGGAGGGTATTGTTCTAATTAAACGGATCCTTTAGTGCCTGGAAAACAAACCCGCTTTCCTGGCACTATAGGGTTAATAGATCCCCCTCCATCCCTCTGGGGCCCCCTCCCACTGGGCTGAAGGGATTAAAACCCCTTCAGCCACTTACCTTAATCCAGCGCTGGGTTCCCTTGGCGCTGGTGAACTCTCCTCCCACTGCAGACGTCAGCTCCCGAATGGAGCCGAATGCACATGCACGGCCAGAGGGCATTCAAAACCGACCATAGGAAAGCATTACTCAATGTTTTCTTATGGGAATTTTATTTGACGCTGGACTCCGTATGGACATCCAGCGTCAATTCAGTCATTTCAAACTGCTATGTTTTCAGCTGCAGACTTAAAACTAGGGGGACCTGGCTGAAGTGGTCTGGGTGCCCAAAGTATCCTTTAAGAAATGTTGCTGAGTGTGGTTTAGTGAACTTAGTATAGTGACATACATCAGAACAAATTTTTTTTAAAAATCTGCAAAATTACAATTTCTGAAAAAGTTTTCAATTAGAAATTAATACCACAAGCCTTGACATTTTTTTTTTTTTTACCTTGTTTAGGCTTAAAATATATTACATGGGAGTGTAACATGCTGTCCACATTTGCAAATGGTATGCATTTATGGAGTCATTTAAATGTCTGAGCTACTAAAATGCTATAAACCATATTTTCAAATTCTCCCTTTCTGAGGCATCTTTCCTTCTTCCCTCAAACATGCTATCATTATTATTATTAATATTATTATGTTGTTTATATAGTGCCAACAAATTCCGTAGCGCTTCAGAGTGGGTGGACGAACAGACATGTAGTTCTAACCAGACAAGTTGGACACACAGGAACAGAGGAGTTGAGGGCCCTGCTCAATGAGCTTACAGGTTAGAGGGAGTGGGGTAAAGTGACACAAAAGGTAAGGATAGTATTTTTTACTAATGACACTTGCTAGAGAGGAATCATTCAGGAGCTGTTGACAGTTTAATTGATACCCTTTTATGAAGAAGTGGGTTTTTAATGATTTTTTTGAAGGAGTGGAGACTGGGTGAGCATCTAATGGAGGAGGGAAGTGAGTTCCACAGGAACGGTGCAGCCCAGGAGAAGTCTTGAAGGCGAACATCAGAGGTGGGAGTACAGACAGAAGATAGACGTAAGTCTTCAGCAGATCGTAAGGGCCTAGATGGGACATACTTGTGTATTAGTGAGGATAGAGAGGTGGGAGCAACATTATGTAGAGATTTGAAAGCAAGAACCAGAATTTAAAATTGAGCCCTATATCTTACAGGAAGCCAATGTAGGGACTGACAGGCAAAGCGTGGGAGGTGCAGACGGACAGGAAGATGAGCCTCGCTGCCCATCCTAACACAAAAAAGCATTCTGCTGACCCTACTTTTCCTTCTAACTACTGTCCTATATAGTTACACCCCACCTAAGCTTCTTGAGCGGCTTATGTTTACCCACAGTTTGTCAACTTATCTGCCTTCTAGACCCTCTTCAATCTGGTTTTGGCTCCCTCCATTATACTGAAACTATAGCTAAATCTAAAAGTCATTAATGTCTTACTGGGGGAGAATGAAACACAAGGAGGAGCTGGGGAGGAAAGACACATGGAGGGGCTGGGGGGAGTGAGACATATGGAGGGGCTGGGGGGAGTGAGACATATGGAGGAGCTGAGGGAGGAAATGAGACACATGGAGGAGCTGAGGGTGAGAATGAGGCACATGGAGAAGCTGGGAGGAGAGGCAATGAGACACATTGAAAAACTGGGAGGGAGGGAATGAGACACATGGGGGCCCTGGGGGAATATTTGCACTAAATAGTGATTGAGTTTTGCAAGAGTTTTAGTGTTGAGTGGTCCTTTTATTTCTAAGAGAGTGATGCCCTTGCTTTAAACAATGTGATGCCAAAAACAAAAAGCAAATAAAGTGCCACTTCAGTTAATATCACATAAGAAAAAACTATGCTTTACATTTGAAAAGGGTTTGATTGCCTAAAGCAGTGGTTTTCAAATCAGTGCCGAAGACACACCTACCAGTCCAGGATTTAGGGATTACATGTGTCAAAGTGTTTTTTTTTTTTTCTAAAAACACCTTGGACACAACTGAGTAATCCATAAATCCTGAACTGGTAGGCATGCCTTGAGGACTGGTTTGGAAACCACATGGCTAAACTTAACAACTACGTACTTAATTGTTATTATTTTATTATTTATATTCCGTAGCTCTGTACAATGGGTGTACTAACAAACATGTAATTGTAACCAGACAAGTGGACACACAGGAACAGAGGCGTTGAGGGCCTTGCTCAATGAGCTTACATGCTAGCAGGGCCGGACTGGTGATTCCAAAGCA